ATACCGTCATTATCTATTCTTCCTCAGCGTGGTGCTATTGTTCTCCTTTGTTCCTATCTACACTCGTAAAATAGAACATCCCTGAAACTTACATAGCAAATACATTAAGCAATATTCGCCACAAACTGAAGTCCACTCATTCTGAATCCTATCAACATTCCAGTTCCATCTTTTACAATTTCTTTTAAAAAACTCAAGATGATATCGTACAGGTGCCCGACCGAATGAATCAAAATATTGACCGACGTCATTCGTATCGATATATAAAGCTACCCAATGTGACCCTGGTTTATAATCTGTATCCAAATTGCATATTATATACGTTGGTACGTTATACGTATATACGTTGCACATGGGTAGTTTATTGGCAGCATAAACATTATTTTCTAGAGTGGGGTGAATCTTTTTCGGATGTTGTTGTACATCTAGTGTATCCATAATATAACTGCTATTAGTAGATTATTACAGTACAATCTACTCAATGACTAACATAGGAATGATCAATTATTGTGATTTCTAAATATTAAATTGCATTCTTTGTGTTATACAAAACGTATTTGAGTCATCAATACACTGAACAAGACACGACACGAAGGGCGAAGGAATGTTGAGATAAGCAACAGAATGTGAGATAAGCTTGTTGACGCATAAAGTTACTATCAATTCTTCTGCAGAAATTCTTTAGATTAGAATTATTACTCACTGGTACTATATAAGACCAAGCAACTGCAGTCATGGAGTTAGTGTATGGTCGTTTGACCGCAGTGGATCTATCAATACTACATTTGTGTTACTTCAACGCATCAAAGGCCATGGATGTAAGCGTTTATTCTATTGACAAACTTACTTTTCTTTCTGTTATTTTCTTACGTGTGTATGATTTAGTGTTAACAAATTATATTTAAATATTATGTGTGTGTATATGATTAAGCCGTGGTAGCTCAGATGGTTAGCGCAAAATGTAAAATTCACAGTACGCGAACCGGGTTCGATCCCCGCCGGCACCAATTAAATTGTTAATTGCAATTTTAAGTGCTGATTTACCACGTGCTCAGCGGTGAAGGAAAACATCGTGAGGAATAAATGTCTGAGAAAATTTCGAAGGCATGTAAAGTTTGCCAACACGCATTGAGGCAGCGCAGCGAACATTTCCTAGCCCTAAAACCCCCTCAGAAATGAGAGGAGGCCTATGTTCAGCAGTGGACTTTAATAGGTTGTAACTTTAACTTTTTTAACTTTTATGATTAAGTGTTAACAAATTGATATTAACATGATAACTGTGTTGTTGCAGAAATCATTGAGCTTCGATGAAAATACCTATAAACAGTATTACTACTCGCCACTCTCCCCTCAAGAAGAGAGTGATGACATCGTCATTAATAATAACACATGCGATGGTGGCAAAAGAAAATCTCAATCGATTGATCATTTTTTTGAAGCTGAATCAAAAATAAAAAAGAGGAAGCTGTTATCATCAACCGTAGCACGAGCCGCTGGAGATGGTGTATCATACATTTCTACTAATTCTGACGACGGAGACCAAGCGACGCATCTCATCAAAATTGAAATGTACGATATGAAGAAGCTATCCAAGATTCCAACTACTGATCATTGGAAACATGCTTCCACGAGGATTAAATATTACGTAAAGACTAATAAGGATAGCATCTACGACAACACAAACGCCCTCGTATACAATATTACGAAGACAATAGCAGAAAGTGAAAAAGTTAAAAAATACTTTTTTAACAATGCAATGACTGTCATTGTTAAAAAAGTATTTTTTCTGCTTCCGTTGTTGGTTTTTTGATGATCTTGGGTTCTTTGCTGCGTTCGCTTCGTTCCTCTTCCAAGTTGTAGTGGTTGACTACTAAAATGTTTAAATTTATTAAAAACTGTACAAGACATTGTGTAAATTATGATCGAAATGAATGTTTATTTTACTTACTTAAACTGTGTTTCAACCATCGCAAAGTGATTATACAACTCATCATCATACGATGAATCGAACAGTTGATCCTTCTCCATTTCATCACAAACTTTAGACAACTCCTGATTTAATTCGCTGTTGAATAGTTCCGTATTCTCTTCCATGGTTGTGGAAAAGAAATTACTGATGCACACTTCACTGAAGTTTGCCATCCGTATAGTAAAGAAGAAAATGGGTAGCAGAGTAAGTAACAGTTCAGTGTTGGTAGACCAACTGATACCCAAATTTCAAATAATGTCCGATATTTATAGTCTAGCAAAGGATTAGAAATAGAATATAATGAGTACACAGAAGTAATTTAAGTAAACGGAATCACATTCACTAATGATCAGCTAATGACTGTCATTGTTAAAAAAGTATTTTTTAACTTTTTCACTTTCTGCTATTGTCTTTGTAATATTGTATACGAGGGCGTTTGTGTTGTCGTAAATGCTATCCTTATTAGTCTTTACGTAATATTTAATCCTCGTGGAAGCATGTTTCCAATGATCAGTAGTTGGAATCTTGGATAGCTTCTTCATATCGTACATTTCAATTTTGATGAGATGCGTCGCTTGGTCTCCGTCGTCAGAATTAGTAGAAATGTATGATACACCATCTCTAGCGGCTCGTGCTACGGTTGATGATAACAGCTTCCTCTTTTTTATTTTTGATTCAGCTTCAAAAAAATGATCAATCGATTACGATTTTCTTTTTCCACCATCGCATGTGTTATTATTAATGACGATGTCATCACTCTCTTCTTGAGGGGGAGAGTGGCGAGTAGTAATATTGTTTATAGGTATTTTCATCGAAGCTCAATGATTTCTGCAACAAACAGTTGTCATATTAATATCAATTTGTTAACACTTAATCATAAAAGTTAAAAAAGTTAAAGTTACAACCTATTAAAGTCCACTGCTGAACATAGGCCTCCTCTCATTTCTGAGGGGGTTTTAGGGCTAGGAAATGTTCGCTGCGCTGCCTCAATGCGTGTTGGCAAACTTCACATGCCTTCGAAATTTTCTCGGACATGCATTCCTCACGATGTTTTCCTTCATCGCTGAGCACATGGTAAATCAGCACTTAAAATTGCAATTAACAATTTAATTGGTGCCGGCGGGGATCGAACCCGGTTCGCGTACTGTGAATTTTACATTTTACACACACATAATATTTAAATATAATTTGTTAACACTAAATCATACACACGTAAGAAAATAACAGAAATAAAAGTAAGTTTGTCAATAGAATAAACACTTACATCCATGGCCTTTGATGCGTTGAAGTAACACAAATGTAGTATTGAAAGATCCACTGCGGTCAAACGACCATACACTAACTCCATGACTGCAGTTGCTTGGTCTTATATAGTACCAGTGAGTAATAATTCTAATCTAAAGAATTTCTGCAGTAGAATTGATAGTAACTTTATGCGTCAACAAGCTTATCTCACATTCTGTTGCTTATCTCAACATTCCTTCGCCCTTCGTGTCGTGTCTTGTTCAGTGTATTGATGACTCAAATACGTTTTGTATAACACAAAGAATGCAATTTAACATTTAGAAATCACAATAATTGATCATTCCTATATTAGTCATTAAGTAGATTGTACTGTAATAATCTACTAATAACAGTAATATTATGGATACACTAGATGTACAACAACATCTGAAAAAGATTCACCCCACTCTAGAAAATAATGTTTATGCTGCCAATAAACTACCCATGTGGAACACCCACGTACCAACGTATATAATATGCGATTTGGATAGAGATGATAAACCAGGGTCACATTGGGTAGCTTTATATATCGATACGAATGACGTCGGTCAATATTTTGATTCATTCGGACGGGCACCTGTACGATATCATCTAGAGTTTTTTAAAAGAAATTGTAAAAGATGGAACTGGAATGTTGATAGGATTCAGAATGAGTGGACTTCAGTTTGTGGCGAATATTGCTTAATGTATTTGCTATATAAGTTTCAGGGATGTTCAATGCATAGTTATACGAGTATATTTACAGGGAACACATTGTACAACGATATTTTAGTGGATGAGATGTTTCGCTCCTATTTTATAGATAATAAGTAATAAGATTTTGTATTTTGTAAATAAAAATTTTAGCAAAATTAGGTAATGTGTTTTATTGATGAGTTAGATTAGTGTAGATAGGAACGAAGGAGAACAATAGCACCACGCTGAGGAAGAATAGATAATAACGCTATTCAATGAACAATAGATAAGTAGATAAGAACAATAGAGCTCTAATGACGGTGGAGGCCTTCACCGGATATCAATTAGATAAGAGTTAATTGATTTGCACATCTCCGGAACCGTGCATCCTACGCAAAAATGGACCGCAGATTCGTGATCAGAGCATGCCAAAACCTTTTTTTTTTAGGATCGTGAGTCGACGAACGTCGTACTTGTACCACTTCTGACTCAGTGCGCCAGAACTGGTACAACGTAACTACTAAAGTGAATAGAGCACAAGACGTGGGAAAAATGATGGTGGCCTCGTTCTTCGGAAAGACAGGTCATTACGCAATAATTGTTTTAAAGGATCGACAAACCGTTACTGCAGGGTGGTACACTAACAATTATTTGTCATGAAACACATCACGAAAATGCCTCGTCGCACACCGCCAAGCAAACAATCGACTATTGGCGACGTCATACGTGGAATTACTGGGTCACCCGCCCTATAGCCTCGACCTCTCACATTGCGATTTTTATTTATTTCCGAAAATATAAGAAAATCTTCGAGGAAAACGTTTTATGGACGCCAAGGAAGCAGTGGATGCGTTTCAAAATGCTGTCGAAGAAACCCCTAAGGACGAGTGGACAAAGTTCTTTTCTTTTTTTACTTTATTATACATAAGGTCATGGTTGACCCGATTTTAGATTGTGGTAGATGTACCACAATTGCAATGATATCTTAATGGTATAATTAAAAAAAAAACTTGTTTAAAGTTCATGTACCCTTTCATATAATATATTGTAATATTTTTAGACAAAGACTTACCTCTTTTAGGTCATTCTCAAAATTTTGATTTGGATAGATTAGGTCTGGATCTCGATTAAATCTTCGTAGGGCATTACAAAATTCACTGTAATAGTGCTCAATAAGCCGTTGATAGTGTTTTTGGCGAAACTTCCTATCCGTACCACTAATGATGAAGTGTAGCAGATCCGTGATTGGGTTGCTCATTTTTATAAACTGAAAATCTAGCACTGCTACCTCCAATGTCCCATCCTGTAACATTAATAAGAAATGGTTTAGCCTTAGTCACTGTTGACAGGACTTGTTTTTCGACCCAGGATTCCCGTTATTTTGCATCACCGCAAATTTAAGTATGCGTCAACGTAAAAATAGTTGATCTTAAAGTTTTGTGTATGGTATTACCGATTATACTACGCAAAACGAATTAGATTATTGATATTTTTTGGCACAATATATTTTTTATGCCTAAGATCCCAGTCATATTTTGCCGTTTAGTGGTTGAATGTATTTATCATCATTTTATCACAATATTATTAATTGTCTATAATATTCTGGATTAATACAATTTTTTAGTTACTGAGAACTAAAATTAAAGCGATGTCGCCACTTTTGGTACGTGGTTTATAACTGCTGGTAGCATTCCACTAAGCTTTTGAGACACAAATGCTTACGGACGACACACACGATCAGTTAAACTGATCAGTTGAACTAATATCAGTTAAAACGGATTTAAGCCAAAGAAAGTACCACACACACAGTCAATTCAACTGATCAGTCCAACTGATCAGTTCAAACTAGGACTGTTGATATTTTTAAAATATTGGATTTTCGATATATTGATAATTATAAATATGTCAAGTTTTATAAATCGAAGAATATCGATATATCGGATTTATTTAAAAAAATCAATCGTAAGTCCTTTAGTTTAGTTCATTTATTATACTTATTAAGCAAATTAAATTATAAATGTATGGAAATGTTAGATTATAGTTCTTGTTATTAATGTGCTATTTAAATACGACAATTATACATATAATATTTTACAGTAGGAGTTTTCAAAATACTTGTATGTTCAGTTGTTTGGCCACTACGATTATTGGGCACTAAAAGATTGATTGTAGAAGCACAGATGCTACAGATGTAACTGAAGAAATCAAATATTTAACAGCTATTTGTGACAGAACGGGAGTGAACTGTCTACCCAGCGGACAGTCGATGACTAGCGACAGCTGCAAAATAATAACATCAAATTTTTTTCAAGTTGCTATATAATTTCTTTGCAGTGTTAGCGTCGTCGGACTATATTATTCAGAGCATGTTAGTATAAATCTAGTGCGTATAATAGAATAAATCTATAACATAATAAATCTTAGTATAATATAATAAATCAACAGAGTGAGTGTCCGTGGCGCTGAAACCAATCCTAATAGCTGTTGTTGTAGATTGAAAAGCCCTGTATCTAGCAATGCGTTTACGACAAGTTAATAAAGAAGCAAACAGGTAACTCAATAGTAAACTAAATTTCTTGTATGTCTAGAAGTCCCTCTGGGAAGAGAAGGAAGGAAAGATTCATTTATTTTTGTAGCCAAATACCTGTGTTTGCACTGTGTTTCAGACTTGAATTAATAGATTTCGACATTCTCTCCCAGTCCATTCGGGACGTGTAGAAATAATGTGGTAGATGCCAAATATATATATATATATATATATAAAATCCTATTGTGATAACTATTGACCGATTGGGTAATAGAATCCAGACAGCAGCTGCAGAAATCAGCGAAAGCGGGTTTGCTCGACGACTTAAACGGTCGTTTATTCGACGTGTACAGCTGCAAATGTCATTTTGAAAATTTTGTGTAATCTTTACAGGGTTCGTAATTGTGTCAAAGATTATTTATAAATTAAGAAAAGCATTACATGTTTCTTTAATTATTTGATCAAATAAGTAGCAAATTAGGTCTAGATCACTCTGCAACAGTTGTAACAAAAATTGTCATTTTAAGTCAACACGCAAACTTCTTGACGTAAACAGAGCTCGTACGAACTACAGACGTAATTATTTCATGATTATAACTACAAAATTTATAAACTCGCTTATCTTTGATATTGATCCATTTAATACTTTCACGAGTGTGACTAAAAGTACCTTAATCAGTGAATTTTTTGCTTAATTTTTTTATCTTAATTCCTAAATTATTCACAATACATATAGTTTTTAACTATAAGGCTAACTAGTGAATTTGTCTTAGAACTGGATTTTATTTACATCTTTTATTTTTAATTCTAAAAATGGAAACTTGTAAAGAGCATAATACGTGGGTATATTAAAGATAATACCTACTTTCTTATTTAAAAATAAGCTATTGCTGTAAGTTTTCCGAATACAATAAACCAAAAAATGCAACATACCTCAAGTGTTCTATGCATCAAATTATCCGGTCTGAAGTCGCCATGCGCTATCACCGCAAGGCGAATTGGCTTCAAAATCTTATCGAAATTTTCAGTTTTAACATTTTCTTCCAAGAAGACGGTAAGCCTTTCTCGATATTCTTCTTTGGCAACGGTGATAGCGTTTTGAGACATTTTATCGAACAGAAATGTTGGATACACAAAATTATTTTTCTCCAAGATTTCATTTCTCTTTTCAGGATTATCTTGTCTTAAAGCAACAGATAAAACGTGTAAATAAGCCATCTGTTTTACACATTCAGCAGCATGCTCCCAAGTTACACTTTCCAATCTGTTATAACGCTTGAAATTTTTCTTGTTTAAATTTTCCATAACTACAGTCTCTCTTAAATATCCATTATCAAAACCGTAAGACTTCGCGGTTAGAAATCTGTTCCTTTTTGGTATGTTATATTTCTCTTCTAACAATTTATATTCGTTTAATAGATTGGTATAGAAAAAATGCTCTGTATCCAATACGGAAATATTAAAAGCGGCTCTCGTTTCTTCAGCCATAATGACAACTTTTCCAAATAGTTCAAGGTCTGGTTTGTTTGGTGCAGAAATTGTCACTTCATATAAATGAGACCAGTAGTTAGCACCGTCAGTATTAATTAGTTTCATTTTTATGTCCCAATTCTCATATTTCTCTCGAGCAGCAATAGCGTTGAGGACGTCGCGTAAAATCGGCCCAGTGTCCGTCATCGTAGGATATTAGGTAACAACTGAATAAATGTCGTGAACGAAGCAACATATTTGTGATACGCTGTATTTCATTATATATACGTCTTTAAGTTAAGGGACTTTAGCTACCCATATGAATAAATTCTACGTCAAATTAAGTAAAATTAATTAAGCAAAAGAAGTAAAAGAGAAATACACAAAATGCTGATATTTACTTTTACACTATTATTTCTTCGCTTACGAGATTTAAAGCATGCATTTGTTGAACATTTTTATTAAATGTAAAGGGTTTGTTCTTGCGTTGTCCGTTTAAGTGAATTACTGTTAGTTATTATCGAAATTTAAGTCTGGGTGTACACCTAGCTCGACTTTAGCCTGAGCGTTTAGCCACCGCAGAGTCTACTTCGTATGAGGATGTCTCATGTAGTTACGAAACACGTGTCGTATTATCGATACTGGTACGTTTTTTCCGGTATTGTGGTATTTGGAGTAGTGGTGTTGGGAGTAGTGGTGCTGGGATTAGCTGCGCTGGGAAAAATGGTGACGGGTATGGTGCACGTAATCGAGTGAGGGTGGGAGGTGCTCTTAAAACTAAGTGAGACACATATTTTTTTTATAACGCGGATATAAGCAAACTAGTTGTTAAGATCCTTAATAGGATTTTCGCAAAGTAACGCCTGATGTTATTAATTATAGTAAAAAAATTAAAAGTGTAGTAATAAACAAACTTAAAGTCCACCAAATTCATAAATGGGCTCCAGATGATTAGACTAAGATGGAATAGCTCATAATAGCCTGTAATTAAAAGAGGTGGGTCATTTAAGATTTGGAATTTGAGTCGGCTTTAAAAAAAACAATGAATATTTTATCAAAGTTATGAGTTTATTAAAAAGATTGAACCTTTTCATTTAGGAATTAAATAGAGCATCATTCAAACGACTACCACGGCTAGCCTTAATAATTTTTCAGTACATTTTCGATTGTTTGGGCTTCTATTTCGTCAATGACAACTTAGACTTCATGTTTTAAGTCGACAATCGTCTCTGGATGATTAGCGTAACATTTGTCCTTAACGGCTCCCCATTAAAAAAAGTCCAACGGAGTCAAATCGTAGCTTCGATGTGGCCAACTGATATCAGCATTTCGGCTAATTATGCGATTTTCGAAAACAGTGCGCAAAAGATTAATTGTGGTTGTAACGGGTGTAAATGTCATCTATGTCATCCGTTTTAATTTTTGGAAACAAAAAATGGCTTAGCATGGCGCAGTAGCGATCGCCATTGTAATGACATTTTCTTGCTTATTTCCAAAAAAAATAGGCCATAATGCCGCCAGGCTAAAATCCTCACCAGACAGTCAATCGTTTCTAGATGCATTGGTTTCTCCATGATGAAGTGTGGATTTCCTGAACCCCAGTTACGACAATTTTGCTAATTCTCATATCCTCCGAGGTGCAAATGAGCTTCATCTGAAAAGATAATTTTTCGGTAACAATACTCATCTTCAATGAAGCGGTCACCGGCCCAAACATGCATCGGATGCAAACCAAAAATGCATCGGATGGTCATGCAGCTTCAGCTCTTGCACTAATAGAACTTTGTACGAATCCATACCGAGATCTTTATGAAAAATTCTTTTCAAAGAAGTACATGAAATGTTAAATTCTTAAGAACAATGACGTTGATGTTGATGGTTGTTCACGCATACTCTGAGCAACAGCAGTGATGTTTTCGGTTGAGCGCACTGGACCAGTACGTACACGGGTTGTTTTATCCGACAACGATCCAGTTTCACGAATTCGCTTTGCAAGTTCATCCACAAACTGCGTTTTTGGGACAATTTTTGTGTCAAATTTTTTTCGTTAAGTTCATACAGTTTGAGTAGAAGACTCACCACTTTGGAAATAATTTTTTAATATTTCCCAACTTTGTTCAAGCGAAAAGTGAGCCATTTTATTAATGTCAAAAATAAAACTAACTTACCGTCATATCGGAGATGTTATCAAACCTTCCTATCTCAAAATAACCTATAGTTCCAAGTCCAAACGTTAGATGGCCCATCCTGTATATGCTCTCTGTACCTTTTAGAACAGCACAGCAGTGCACGAACTGTTGCTTGCCGCCATGAGAAGGTAAGAAGGTGCTTACTCACAGACAACTAGGCAGAAAAGTCCTAAGCCTAGTTATTATTATCCCATATTAAAAAACTTTAGTAACTTAAATGAAAAAAAAAAAGATTTACGTTGAATTAAGTAAACGGAGAGTATACTAAAAAATAAAATGGCAGATATTCACTCGTATTTACTTTATTAATATATTTAATTAATTTTATGACCGAATATCGTGTAGTGATTGTGTAAAATTATTCACTACTCGACTTTATATCATCCCGTGGTTGTCGTAAGATGCGGCAGGGGGGAAATAAATCAGGAGATGGGCAGGAGCGTCATCCTAATTAAATTAATTTGAAAAAAATTGCGTATACCAACCCGCTTGCCAAGCGTGGTAACTATGGAAAATATCCCCCATGAGGCAATCTAAGGCCTATGTTCAGCAGTGGACTTCAATAGACTGTAAGGATAACGGTATGACCAGATATTAAAACGTTGTTATATTTCGAGGAGCACTGCATCTTAACTCCAATGTTAAAATCTTGGATATTATTTTAAAACAACGTTTAGTAACTTAATTATTATTACCTGCACGTTCACCTCATTCTTCGTATTAGATAACCAATGTTACATGCTTACATTTTATACAATTTCTTGTTCTTGAAGATAAAGGCAGACTTTTATCATGCCCTATTATTTTCACCGACCTCAAAAAATGAGGTTTTCAATTCTTCTTCTATGTTCTTTTTTTGTTTTTTAATCGATAAATTTGTTAATTGTAAACTGATTTTATTTATTCCTTTCACTTATTCATTAGGTTATGCTGTAGGAGTGATGGATGTAAATTTTCAGAAAAACCCAAAACCCAACATTGATGTGATATTCCTTAAGGGCCTATACTACCTCAGCTCCAATTCTAATTTCGCCTCCACCTCCCCGAGCGTCGTATGTTCTCTATCGACATGTTTGCAATCACAAATACCATAAGTATATAGGTCGTTAGATACTTATTTCATTAGGTTTATCATATTTATGCCTGTTTCTTCCCAAACCCTCGCTTATTATTTTTATTACGGTTAATTCCCATTTTAGTTTTATGTCGTTCTGTTGCGTAATGTGTATTCTGATCGTTAGCGACGCAGCTTTCCCGTTTGAAAGCCGAAACGACACTGAGCGGGAGTATTGAGCGGCAGGGAACACACTTCAAGACACCGATAGTTTAGGTAATTTTTTTACAGTGAAAATAATGGTAATAAAAAAAATAAAAAACATAAGCCCTGCTTTATAGTTAGTTCATTTAGTATGCAAAGTTACATGATCTAATTTAAAGTATTTTGAGAATACCAGCAGTTTATTGTTCGGTTTGGAGGTAACTTTTTATTTTGTTCCATCGAAAAATTTTACGGAATCATGTTTTCATCTAATATAGTACTTAAGAGGGCATATGCGTTTCGCGTCGAAAACTAAATGTTTTATGGTTTTTCCAAAGGCGATATCGTAACGACGTGAGGAGATTATTTGCTGAAAATTAGGGCTTTAGAAAGATGAAGTCTTTATTTAGTACATAGCAATGCAAAATCATAGTTTTTAATGACAGTTTTTTAGGGCGAAGACAATCCCTTCACAGTGTTTTACGAAAATATGCATCAGAGTTATCTTTCAGGTTGAATACAACCATTATTATAAGCTAAAATACTTTATTTTAAACGTTATTATAATGGAATATATAGTCTTTTAGTGTATAGCAAAACCTAAATTACGAAAATATTACGATTTAATATTATAAAATAATATTATAAAATCACCAAAACTGTCTACTTCAATGTAATTTTTTCCATGTATTTGACAAACATATCTATTTTAATTATTTTATCAAAATACATGTAATGTTAAATATCCAAAAAAAATTTAGCTCGTTTTATTTTGTCAATTATTTTATATAATTATTTTAAAAATACTATAAAACATCATGCGCAGGCACCGTTCGTTCGATTCAGTACGCCACAGAGTACCTTTGTATAAATGCAGTACGCTCCGGGTAATCCCAACGACAGGACGTATTACTTTTTCTCACCGACACCGCGCGATCGCGTTGATACACCGATAGGGCTATACTACACTATACTATAACTAGATACCTATATCACCATCGCGCATTTTAAACGATTGAGACTTTTATAAGCGATATTTTTGGTAGTAAGTAATTTTGAAATATGTTTATGATTGTAATATTTAAATATTAAATGATGTAATGGTGACAAATTTTCATTTCATACATATTTTTTTAGAAATGAGTAATGAACGTAAGCAATTTGGATCAAGTAAAAATACAAAATCGTTGGCTTTCACCTTTGGCTCCGTGGCGGAGTGGCTTGGTAATGAGTTGTAGCGCTGAGCGCCGCAGGTTCGAATCCCACATTGAGCAAAAATTTGTATTACCTACAAATAATTGTTCCAGGTCTGGATGTTTGTCCTTGTGAAATTAATGTATTTAAACTGCCCCAACGATGTACTTAGGAAAAATTCCTAGTGCGGAGATAACGTTATGATTAAACAAAGACATGTCATCAAAAACAGAAATTGTTACGTTGATTGTGAGGATGGGTCATATTTACCTTTTAGAGAATTATGTACGTGTAGCTCCCAGCGCGGCTGTCCTCCGATTGATTTCTGTTTATAAACGCATAGAACATATCATTGTCGCCAGCTACTGAGAAGAAATGCAACGTCGCACGCGTACTTACAAAAATATATGCATTTTAAAACACTCAGGGTCATTTTGACCCAACCTCAGTGACGCCGGGTTAAATAGAAGAATGGACTTAGCTTGTGTAAACCCTCGAACCAAACACGCATTTGTGAACAGATTTTACATATTTCTAGGACCACTTCTATATAACAAGCTCAACAA